GAACGGGCATCCTGTCCATATGGCATTAACGAGCTAAACGAAAGTAGCAGAACGAAGACAAACAAGTTGACCTTGCGAGTGCAGTTTGGTGGAGCTACAGGAGCCGTGAGCAAAGGCTTTGGAGTTGTGTCCACCTGGAATATGATTCTTTATAGAACCACGCTCCGTGGGAACAGTATTATGTTTCTTAGATGGTCTTACATAAAATATCGGGTTACTGTAGTTTGGCTGATTTGTTATGAAATTGACAAGCATTTGAAGGGCCTGGGCTGGACGATCCATCGGTACAAAGTGACCAGAACCCTGAAATTGGATTGGCTATTCTTTACTTGTTTTTCTTTTCAAGCGTTAAGCATCAACCTAGTGAGTCTAATTAGTTGGTTACCTTTACAGTAAGCTGCGCCAGGTTCTGAGTCCATGCCTTTGCGTAACCTGCAATCGTTGGACTGAACCCTGGGGCCATTTGATAGGTCCACTGCTGTCGATTAGATAAAACCTAAACATGTCAAGTACTGCGGGTTAATATGCTGAAGGAGTTTCCCTCCGATTTCCCCAATATTGTTGGATATTTGGACCCTGATTAAATCGGGCGCTGTAGGCGCTGGCTTCTTAGTTATTACCCTGGTACCAGTAGCACTATTCAGTATCATATGATCCATATAACCTGATCACCTCGATCAATATTTCGCGATGCTCGGAAAGCGGGCAGGAGCTCGTAACTACTGTTTCTTCCTGACTGGCGCGCCCGTCCTCTTCACAGTATCGGAACCGGACGCGCATCAAAGAATAAGGCCTAACAGAAGTTTCCGCCCACCCGGTTATCGCGGAATGTGACTCAAAAGCTAAGTGAACAACTGCGAGCTTGAAGACAAGTGGCAGGATGAATTGACAAGGCGTATAGGGTTTATACCCTTGATCATGAAAGGATCTTATACCCTTTGGCAGGCGCTGCGTGTCGCCTTTTCCGACTATTGGCACCCTTATAACGCCTAACCAAGATGCTTCATGCCAACTCAGACACCCACCGCAACCGCCCGCCACACAAATGGTGCACAGTAACATCGACGCTGGTACTCTTATTGCGTCATTTATGAAGTACAATTGATATGAAACGTTGCTACTTGGATATGGAATACATGCGTGCAGCGTATCTACCAGAGCGGTTGCTGATGCGATGCGAACGGGAAACTCGTCCAAAAGTGCTTGACCAGTGCCGTGCGGAACAGAGGTTTTTTGCAGGTGTTCGGCCGTTTGACTCTGCTTTCTCGCCATTTCCCTCCTGTTTGGGACCCTTGCTATTATTCCTAGAGAAGTACCAAATTATGTTGCCTTATGCCTTCAAGCTTA